TTGAGACACCATGGCACCAATGTTAATTTAAATCAAGTTTTAGAAGTTAATATCTATAAATGACCTAAAGTACACTACAGTTTATTGCATTTGCAGCATGCACAGTAAACTATAATAATAATAAATTCTTTACACATTTGTAATAATAAATTATTGTGTGTTTTATATTAGGATTATTTTTACTGTACACCGTATCACATTAAAAATAAAAATTTAATGCGAGTTTCTAATAAAAAAATTTATTGAGTATAAGTTAATTGAAAGGTTACATGAGGTTATATTTATTTACCATATGTTGCACCTAATTTCACTAGAAATATGGTAGTCAACATAACAAACCATTACGATTCTATGAATTGTGCATTGATAAGATAAATTATCAGTTCACTATATATTACATACACCTATACTTTTAATTGTAAATGTAATAATGCAAAATAATTTGAATGAATACTTTTTATTAAAATGGGAAATTACAAATATAATATTAATAAATGTACAGTATCATAGTAATATTTATAAAATTAAACTACAATATATACTAGATTTGGCAATGCCAAAATATAATTATTATTATTAATTTAATGAATATAAATAATTAACAAAAAATAATTTTATAATCCATAAATCTCTTTATAAAGTGGTCCCATAAATATGTTTCCGTATTCGTAGAAATCTTTAGCAATCATTTCATTCAAAGTTCTCAATACATGAAGACTTTTCAATAATTTAATGAGTCGTGACTTCGCCTCATCCATGGAGTGATACTCTAATTGTAAATAGCGTTGCAATAAATATATATAAATGTGTTGTTGGAGTCTATAAAACAAATATTTACAAATTATGTCAAAATACTTTACATTATATACCACTTACTTAACCACATCTCTATATATAAGGTTTGGACGGTTGGGGTTAAAGAGTGTTATGGCTATCATCTAAGTGATAAATATTTTAAAAATATATTTATTACTAAAATTCTTAATTGTTAAATACCAAGTCCATTATAACAGGGTCACAATTCCATTGTGGATAAAACTGATCAAAAAACTTTTCAAATAAATTATATATATCTGGTTTGGCCTCCTTTATGACCGACAACTTTATAATTGTCGAGTTTCCGTTTTCCTTTCAGTAAATGTTATATTTTTACAATTATTTTTTGAGTTTATAACAAAGGATTTCTAATAAACATACCATGGTAATAGTCATAAGCGAGTTCGGGGTATCATAGGCCATAACATGTCGGATACAACTCATTTCAATGCACCCGTACTTTATTAGCGCGATTTGGTCCTCATTGCAGACTTCCGTGAAAAGTGTCAACTGTTTTGACATTTCGATGATATTATGTGTAATTTGTTCCCAATTATTGACTATAACTTTGAGCGCCTCTGCATGTCTTTGCTCTTCAATCAATTTGTTAATACATTTATCTCTCAATACATTTGAAGCGTTTAATAGTTCACATAATCGGAGTCCTTCCTTCTCATTCAATGTGTTATTATAGTCAGTGATGGGTCTTATGATTGACATAACATTTGCCACAATGTTTATCATAGTTTGCTGATTCTCATCAATGCTATTATTTCTAAATATGTCACGAATTAACGCATACCTATCCCTTTTAGGTATTGCTTTATCTGTTTGATAGGTTTTCAAACATATATCTGTAGTATTATTTTGAATGAAACGATTGCTTATTTCATTTAATTGTATTTGAAACTCGATTGAATCGTTAGTATTATCATCTACCAAATTATTATATTCACTATTAGTTTTCAACATAAAAAGTCTGTGTCTTTCTTTGCGAATCAATTCCTAATTAAACCCAAGTATTCATAAATAAATAATAAATTAGCATTGTGATAAATAATAATTGTTACATTCCTATAATACCTTTCTCATTCCCACTGCAAAACATTTGTTAATTCGACATAATTTACAGGATTTTCGGGTCACA